ATGAACTACGTCTGGGACAGATCAGAGGTAAACGGGCGGGCGGTTATTTCTCATTGCTGCACCCACATTCGTGTGGTGGGGGCGAACGCAAATTGATAGCTTATAGTGGTTCCTGGACTTGGACACGAAAGAACAGGTCAATGATTGGACATATAGAGCTGTGGGCTTGGACAGATGAGTGGCGAGATGTAAGGAAAGAAAGAAAGAGACAGGTTAGGTAACAAGTCAGAATATTAGCGTACCATATGGCCAAAAACCATAGCGAAAAACCTCATCATAAAAGGAGAAACCTCGAGTGTTTAAGAAAAAAGTAGAGTTTAATTGCCGAAAATGGATACTAAAGCTAAAAATCGAAAGGTTTAAATAAGAAAAATTACACGTAAATTTGAATATTATGGTAATGTTTGTCTTAGTAAAAAATCGTTCTCATCTCTCTCTCTCTCTCTCTATATATATATATATATATATATATATGGTTCTTTTCTCTTTCCATTAGTTTGTTTCGAGTTTTTGGTAAACATCTATTCATACTTTAAATATTAATACCTATTAATTTAGTCACATATTTTTTAAATGAATACATCTCAACACTTAATGAACACAGTTATACACAGGCATTATACGATCGAGTAGAAAACATATGCAACCATAAGATAGATACATTATGAGAATGTGTGTATGTGAAAGATGTTTTTTTTAGAAAGTGGACAAAGAGTCGATATATATATATGTGTGTGTGTGTGTGTGTGTGTGTGTGTGTGTGTTTACGCACGCTTCATGGTAAATTTAAAATTATGAACCCTTTCAATAGAAAATGATCATATATATAAGTCAAGAGTGAATTCTTAATAGTAGAAGCAATGCAAATATCTTTCGTAGTCGAAAGATGCGTACTCCCAACTAATCACATGGGGCCATATGGTTAAATACACTTCCTCGGAAAAACATAAGTAATTGAACGAAAGGTACGACTGTTGTATTTATTAGCTGGCTTTTTTTTTTTTAATACATAAATGATGCCAGGATAGACAAAGAAATTAATAAATAAAAAGAACTAAATCATTATCAATTCATATTTGTCCAGATTAATCTAGGAGTTACCATTGCAAGATATGGTCCCGTTAAAAAAAAAAAAAACAAAAACATATGAATGTCGAATTCGACTCATCTCTACGAATTCTTTAAAAATGGTATGAGGTTTTGTGTTTACAAATTGAAATACAAGCGACTAACAAAAGTAATGTTTACAAACTACAGGAATTAAAAGAATAACCAATCATTTTACTTATTCAAACGTCTTTAAAATAGACTTGAGTTGATTTTTTCCTTAGCGACTTACTACAAAGAAACAGGCACACACACACGCGCGCGTGCGCAATAGAGAACAGTGGGACAACACACAGACCTTAACATTAAGTCATCAATTTTATCTGTCATTTGAAATAGTAAGAACAGCATTTAACCAGTTGTAGTAGTATTTAGATACCTACAATTAGTACAGGAAAGCAGTCGGATAATGGTAGCATATCGAGGAAAGCTACTAGACGCAATAACATCTTCAAGAATATAAAATATCATTATAGTTGTAGTGGTACTGGAACTACCGGTAGGACCTGCGATAGTAGTAGTAGTAGTATTAGTAGTAGTAATTACCTTCCAAAATGACTGTTGCACACCACCGTGGTATTCCAAAACGAGGAATAATTTTCGTAGCAATTTTGAAATCTTTCCGCGGAAATGAAAAATGAAGCAGAGAGATCTAAAGGTTAAAATAAAAAAAAAAGATCCTCTTTCGTTTCCAAGAGTTCAAGTTTCGTCGGGACGAGAATAGGAATGAAGAAATAAATATATAGTAGTTTTAACTGCAGTTTTTTTTTGTTTTTTTTTTTATTATTTAAGCTGATTTTTTATTTCTTTTTTTTATTTCTTGTCTTCCTTTTCTTTGTTTTGTTTTTGTTATTTTTTTCCCTTCAATTTACTTTCCAGGCATCTGTTGTCTTTTTATTCTTTCTTTGGTTTTATGAATGGTGACACGGTTATCAAAGGTCGGACTTCAAAAGTGAACGTATTGCGAGGAGATATAAATAAATGAAATAATAAAAAGAGCAAAAAAAAAGAAAAATGAATAAATAAGATGAATGAAATTTATAAAAAGATGAGACTGAGTGTACGAATGAATGAAACTAGGAAGAATTTTGTGTTTTTTTTTTCTCTCTTTAAGTGTATCCTTCAGTTAGGTTCCGCTTTGTCTTTCTATCACTTTTTCAGATAATATTTTCAAGCTCTAAAAATCCTTCGTAGCGTCTTTGATTTCAATTGCAAAAAAAAAAAAAAAAAAAAAAAAATCAGTTTTCTTTTCTTTCTTTTTTTTTTTACAGTAAAGTTTTTTTTCTCTTCTGACGTGTGCTTAATCGAAACTCCAAATACCGCTTTGTTGTTTTTTGTCCGTCTGCAAAAATTTCAATTCTTCCTTCCTTCTTTTTGTCGTCAGCTTCAAACATATATTTTCCTTTCGTTTTTTTTAACTTGAATTTTTTCTATCACTTCCTTAATTTTTAGTTAAATCCTCTTTTTTTTTAATTTAAATATTTGTCGTTAGTTTCTCTCTCTGTTCTAGATTATTTTCATGTGCGTGCGTTTTGTCTTTCTTCTTAGGTAAACTACTAATTAGAAAACCGTCAAAATATTCTATCCTTTCCAAAGTTAATATAAAAGTTATTATGTTGATTTGATAACTATTTGTGTTTATTAATTTACTAGCGTTAAACGGAGAATTGAAAGTCCAGATTGTCCTTGTTAAAATTCTAAAATTTTCTGTTGAAAATCCAATCCGAAGTTAGGTGGTAAATTCAAGCGCTTAGCTCGTAGTTCTTCTTTCGTCTGGTGTGGGTTCTCTGAACACCTCAAGATTTTGAGGGAGGTCCGTTTTTTGTTCTTTTATACGCGTCTGTGCGTGTGTGTTTGTGTGTTCGACTTTGCGATTCTTCACCCTGCTTTTGCTTTGAAATTTAAAGCCTCTCTAAAATGTAAGTATGTCTTTTTTTGGGGGGTCCTTATGATTTCCTTTTCTCTCTCAGTTATTTAATTAAAATTATTGTTATTAAAAGATATATATCTATATATCCTCCTTTTTGTTTTCATCTGACGGATTTTCCTTTTTTTTTTTAAGTTCTTTCTTTCTTTCTTTTTCACCTCTAGCCTCCTTAACTTTTTTTCCGTCCTTGTTTTCTCATTTAAAGTGAATATATATATATATATATATATATATATATATATCTATATCTATGAATACTGTTCCTGAGTTCTGGTTGCTTCTTTCCTTTCTTCCTGACTACGGTGCTCCTCTTGCGAGAAAAAGTGCACTCCTGCACGATGCTTCTGAAAAAGCGAAACTCACACACACGCGGAAAAACGAAATCTGGAATGGAAAATGTTCAACAGGCGTGTTGGTTGGCGTCGGTGGTGAAGAGGGCGTTGATGGTACTGGGGGCGATGGTGGTGGCTTAGTAGCGTGAGTGATTGTGGCGGAGGCTGTGAGCTTAGGCAAGAGTGGGAGTGATGGTGAGAGTAGACGAAGTTTTCCTAGTGATCAACTTGGATTAAAACGGAGAGTAACAGCCAAAGGAAAACTTAAGAATAACAAAAAGACACTGTGCTCTGCCGTCACTAAAGGTGGCAGTAGTTGTGATGGTATCTATAGTAGCGATACTAATGACAAGTAGTATAGTGGTGGTCGACGTTATAGTAGCTGGGGAGGTACTGGTTTCAATAGTGGTAGTGGTGGTAATATCTTCACCGCTCCTAAGGCACCCTCCTTTCTTGTTACTTGTACTCCTCCTTTCAGTTCGACTCCTCCCATACCCACATCTATTCTTTTACCCTTCTTTCCTTCCTAACCCCAGCTTTCTCTTCACATCTAACAAACGACAACCACCACTACTACAACGACTGCTGGGACTTTAACAACACCTACTGCCACTACTACTATTATTTCAGTAGTTCTCCGCCCCTCTCTCTTGTTTACTTTTCAAATTCTTACCCCCCTTACCCAGCACCGCCTTCAAAACCTAATCCCACTCCTCCTACTGCGATTACTACCCGCTTTTACAGTACCACACCTCCATGGTCTTTTTATTATTACCCCATCCCTTGATTCGAAGCCGATCACCCCTCTGTTTATTGCTTTTCCCTACATCCCTGTCTCCATGGCCCTTCCTTACCGGGCCTAGCGTGTTACCTTCCATGAGAAGCGCCTATCCACTTTCTATTCACTTTTTTTGTTTTATCCAGCCTCATTCTGTCGCGCTTCTGTTCAATTTGTTAGCTTTCAAATTCTCTTCGTCTTTCCATACGAACCTATCTCTCTCTCTCTCACTATATATATATATATATATATATATATATATATATATATATAATCCGGCGACTGTATTGAAGCGTAGAAATTAACAGTCACTATGCACTGTTGAGTCCCCATATTCGCACTATCAATATCTATAAAAGCATTGGTCACTTTTTTTCATGCAACTCTGACACATTTTAATTTTATATATATATATATATATATATATTATATATATATATATATATATATATATATATGTGTGTGTGTGGATTGAGAGAAATGTTGGTGAGCCTGGTCCTGAATCAGCTTTCTCTCTGTCCCTACCTCATCTACTCTAACAACTTTTCGGGAAAGGACTTTCTCTATCTCTCTCTCTCTCTCTCTCTCTCCCTATTTTTTTTTCTTTTTTATTCACGTCGGAGATGTGCGCGCGTATGCAGAGGCAAGCTTTTCCTCACCGAGACTTCAACATGAACGGACACACGTACACAGCGATGCGTCGTCTCACACGCACCGGCCCGGGCATGTGCGTACGTGTGCCAGCCTGTTCGTCTTAAATCTCTGAACACAGAAAACACACACATACACACACGCGTGCAATTCCTGATACACTTGCTCGCTTTTAACACTTACACGCACGCCAACACACACACACACACACACAGATGCATACACAATCAATTTACCCCCCTACACCTTAATCGCGGAAAAGTGGTCACTTATTTCAGACGAGAGGTTAAACTTCTTTGGGGATTCAACAGTGTTTGTAAAAATAAAAAAAAAGTTACCTACTTGGTAAAATTGTTGTCTCTTCTGGAGGGGTGTAGTGATATAATGGGGTTCGTAATAGTCACATTGATATGAAACAGATATTCACACATGCGGAACCTACAATTATGGACTATCAAAAGGAAACTAAAAGACGCGAGATAAAATATTTACTTGCTTGTCCATTTATAAGAAGTTTCAAAGGGACAACGTTCAGTATTGACTGATGCAGAAAGAAATTAAGAACACGGATAAACTGAAAACTAATTGAGCATATACACCTAAAAATATAAAACAAGGAAGACACTGGTGCATTTTCTTGTCGCATTTACATAATGTATTAACAAAAATAAGTTAATATCTACAGGCACAAACCTAACATAAGATACACAAAGACTCGAGCATAAAGAAAAGAAAAGTGAAACGACTATACGACAATAAAGAAATGCAAAGGAATAACTATTAAACATAAGATCGAACGTATGTTCGTTAACAAAAGATGCAGTCCAGTGTATGACTTGTTTACCTTCGATGACAAAATTATTCACGTCCAGAAATTCGACTATATGGGGAGTGTAGCAACAGACGATGAAAAATAGGAGATACACATTAATAATAACGATGGGTGCCTTCCAGAAACCATGGCAAAGGACACAAATATTATCAGAAATATAGAAATAAGGACTGGACAACTTTCTAATATCTAATCTCCTCTATAGCTGTGGATGCTGGACAATTTGAGGAATTGACTTGACAGAAATCTGGTTTTACCGTCGAATGTTCAAAACGGTATGGACAGAATTTGTGGACAAACGGAAAATAGGTACACGACTAAAACCGTTACTTACATTCAGAATTAGGCAGTTGAAGTTTCAGGTACACATAGGGAGGAAAGAGTGCTTGGCGAATTTGACACTCGCAGGACTAACGAGTTTTGGCGACGAATGGCAGAGTGGAAACAAAAGGGGTGTTAAAGTGGCAAAAGTTACTTAGAGCAACAATCGACAGGAAGCTGTGGAGAGCTATGACCGCTTACGTCCTGAAAGGACTTGGCACATAAAAAGAAGATGAAATTACTCTTCTTACCTTATTGCTCATATAAGTAACGATGTTCCAGGTATGGCAAAAAATAATTTCTGTTCAAACAACTTTAATGCAGCTTCGTAAATTCTCATTAAGTGTAAGTCAGAAAACGATGTCCTCATCTGTCACAATTCTTTCTCAATAAGTCCGTTCATATATATATATATATATATATATATATATTGGTGAATCAGTTTTATATCTACCTATCTATTTTGGACTGTCTCTATCAAACTGTCTATATAACCATCTAACAATTTTTTTCGGATTATCTATATATTTTGGATTTTATATGCATCTATATATTTCAGATCATTGGCATCTAACTATCCATTCGGATCATCTATATAATTCTATATATCTATCTATCTTTCGGATTGTCCGCATCTATCTATCTATATCTTTTGGATTGTCTATCTATATCTCTCGGATTGTCTGTATATATCCATCTATCTATTGCTTTCGGATTGTATACATTTATATATCTCGTTGTTTATCTCTTTCGAAATGTCTGCCTTCAATTGTCTTTATCTATCTCGCATTGTCTATCTATATATTGTAAGTATCCGTCAATTTTTCCCTTGCACAAATCCGTATACACTTTTTCTTGTTGTGTCAGTTTCTCACAGAATTTACCCTGTCGACACATTTAAACATCTATGATATTTTAGTTTTATGTCTTATTCACAATTAAATTACATTTTGCAGTAATTATACCCCTGGTCAGGGTGGATATGAAACTCTTCTCAAAATATTTTTACACGAGAAATGTTAACTTTGAAGATAATGATCGATCAAACAAGGAACGCATTCCAACGTCTTCAAACCCGAAATATGAAAAATAACTATACACGTGCGGTTGAAATTTAAAACAAAATATCTTCTGATATGTATTGTGTAAAGAGATATAAGTTTTCTTATTTATGGCTTGGTTTACACACACACGCATATATATATATATATATATATATATAGTGGGTTTTTACAATCGGCACTGCAGCCAGAAATAATATTTTTTTATATTTTCAGAATATTATAGATTAAACACGGCAGGTCACAAATATCGGAAAAAATATATTTTTTATTAAATTTCACAAGAGTAGATAAGGGCTAAGGTTTTCTCGGTCAGTAGAGTTTCATTTAAGTCTCACCTACTGAGATCTACTTCATAGTGAGCATATCTGTTTTGTTTTCTGTAGGATGGCAATTTCATTTGCAATAAAGGCCGCCCTATTAACTTTATATAAACTTTAATAAAGCAAGATATTTATGAACTGGAGTGTTAAAATTATAGCAATATGAGGAAAAAAAGAAAAAAAAGGTTATTGCTCATGCCAATGCCTATTGTACAATCCACTACATATATATATATATATATATATATATATGTATGTATGTATGTATATCGAGGGGAACGTCCGGTTCAATATTACGGCAGAGAAATAGATTCGATCCTCACTTGGTGCAGTTTGTAAAATTCAAGATTAATCCAACAAGGATTAATATATCTTAAAACCATTCAACATCAAGTAACCGTAAAATACGTATATATATATATATATATATATATATATATATATATATAATATATATACACACATTCATATACACACATTATATATATATATATATATATATATAAAAAAGTAATAGTGGGCAATTGAGTTATAAAAAAAACAATATGTGATGCGTTTCATTCCTAGAAAGCAATTCTTAAGACTAATAATTATTTTATTGATGGAAACTAGTATATATATATATATATATATATATATATATATATATATATATATATATATATATATATATATATATATATGGCGAGCAAAAATATACAATAAGCACCTGTTACAATCTTACATCGACAACGCTATTGACACATGCATTAAGTGTATGAGTGGGTGTACCTATATAATATATATATTCAATCAGAAACGTGGCCTACATCGTGAACAGTTAATAACGAAGGAAACTTGTGTTATGCTGATCTTTTAGGTAGGATTCATCTGCCAGACAACCTGAAAAATCAGCGTTACAGATTCTATTTTTTGTAATTTTGGACGCTTATACCTTGCAACATTGAACATATCTTAATACAACCAAAAATCTTATATATATATATATATATATATATATATATATATATATATATATATATATATATATATATAAATCTTAAGGATTCTGCAAAGATTACGAAGGTGTTTTGTCGCGAGACAATAATCGCCATGAACAGTTTCTACACACTCTTAGACCTTAAAAAAGAAAAATTATAAGAACATTTGAAAAAGTTAATAAAAGTTCCTTTTTCGCCGTATTCAATAAAACTATATATACATGTTGTCATGATTATATATATATATATATATATATATATATATATAACAAGATCATCATGCATAATTCTAAAGTAATTAATGGATGTTTTTATATCCGACAATAAATCTGGCTTTCCTAGTTTTTTTATTTATTAGGAGTTTATTACGCAGGTCAGTAGACATCAATTTACGTGTTTGAATATATCTTTCTCTTCGGTCAATCAATGCTTATATTAATAAGAAAGATTATATAAATGTATAAATATATATATATATATATATATATATATATATATATGTGTGTGTGTGTGTGTGTGTGTGTGTGTGTGTGTGTGTGTAAATAAAATCCCTTTATGACTTCTTTTAAATTCCTTTGCTAGTAGTTTAAATGAGAACTTAATTCAACATCTCTGTTATATCCAACGAAGTTACAGATAAAGTCTAAAGCTACAATGCCTTGAAAATTAATTTTGCGAAGGGTGTTAAAATTATGTCTGAAGTAGTGTGTATTCACTTTGAAGTAATTCCTTTTCTAAAGGCATGGATTACTCACTGCTGCTGGAACCATATAATAGAGTAAAAATTGCGGCATTGGTGAGGAGATAGGCGCCGCCAAGTAACGTCCACTGCCCTGAGAAAAATCGTTAGGGACACAGCTATCCACTCTTTTATGGGATTATTTTATAACACGCACTCACCGACACCACTAAAAAAAAATAGATTTTTGTAATTCTTTAACTGTGCCTGACACATTGTATCGTCTTCTTAGTTTTTTTTTTTTTTTTTTTTCGCTAAAACTCTTTCATAGAATTATATTTGTTTATTTTTGTCATTGCTGTTACAAAACAGTAAGGACAAAATAAAATCAAGTTCCAAACGTTTATCGGGCACCCGGTAACTTAATAATACATACTTCGACCGTAACTTCTTTTTCCAGAAATATCTGACTTAACCACGTGTTTAAGTAGAGGAACAAAAAAAAAAATTCTCTTCCCACCGATTTATTTTTTTTGTTCTGCATTTAATAATCTCTTTATTCTTCATCTGATTCTAACCTCTCATTTTATTAACCGTGTGCCCGCTACCCCGCTGTCATAACTATGATGTTCGTAGGTTGATTTGTTTCACGGCATATCAACTTGTTATGGGTCATTTAATACCGAAATGTAATTTTCTTGGGAGCTTTTAAGTCAATAATACATGTTATTCTGCTTTCACAATTGAATACATGGTAGATCATACTCAGCTTTTGTGCATATACTAGTTAGAGTGGGGGCACCTCGAGGCAGTGTAATGATTAGCGAGCTTGTCTTGATAGAACAATTACGACTGAGTAGTGAGTTCGAGTTTCTCTGGGTGCCCCATACTTTTGGCATTGTGCCACATCTAAGCTACACTTGGAAATCACTATTGGGCACCTCGAGGCGGTGTAATGGTTAACAATCTTGTTTCGCTAGAACAATTACGACTGAATAGTGAGTACGAT